CGCACCGATTTCTTCCTTAGTTAAGAAATGCGTCCTTAGATGAAGAGTCAACGACCCATGCACGCTATTAGCCCCAATGCAGACGAAGTGCTGGGTCTGGCGATCTTAGCAATACTCGGTGTCAAGCTCGTCGGTACCAATTCAGAGCACGTGCTGGATCCGGCGATGGCAGATACGCTTGATGCATTCGCGGTTCCAGGTACACACGATTTGTCGGATTCTGGACTGGTGGCAGCACAGTTTCACCGGTGCAAGCATATATGCACTGGGTCTTTGCAGCAGAAAAGTGGAATTTCTATTCTCGTAGAATCCGCATTACGCTTTTCCGCGCTCCGAACTAGCACACTGTCTTCGGCTTAGTTGCCGGCATCACGCACAGTAACAAAAATAAAGGGCACAGAACTTGTGCAAAAAGAAAAAAAAAGAAGAGAAACTGATCGAAACTACAGCGCAAGGCAAAAAGCGGCCTGTAAGCAAACGTCTATCGAAGCGGACAGAGCAGAGAGCTACAGCGAGACGAGGGTGCCGAACGTGATATCGCCAAAAGGGACCCCCCCCCGTTTCCAGTGCAGCAGCCAATGGCTGCCGCGCTTTCGCCCGCGAGATATAAATGAGCTGCTCTGGCCAATGAGCGCTCCGCATCACATCCTGTAGAAACATGAATTGCATCTCAACCGCACTGTTGACGCCATTTTGAAAGGCAGCAAACGAGAGAGAAAGAATTCACAGTCAAAACAAGACCAAGATGGTGCGGGGCAGCCGCATGGTCTTGGAATGGCGCACGAGCGAAGTTTGGTTTGATTTTGGCTTTTGCGCGTGTTTTGGGCGCTGCGGCGGCCTCGAAAATAGCATCTTTTTTGCACTTATGGGGTTGAATTAGGCACTGATATTTACAGAACAGGTAGTTTATGTGACATACAAACCAATAAATATGGTTTTTCAAAAATACTTTTTTGTGATTTTTCAGTTTTCAAGGGCCACGTCCCCCTTAAATAAAACAGCACAACAAAGACTGGACACAAGAAAAGACAAAACAAGCATTCATTGTTCTCTTTTCTGTGTCCTGTCATATGTTGCTCTCCTTTTCATTATTATTATTATTGCTATTATTATTATTATTATTATTATTATTATTATTATTATTATTATTATTATTATTATTAACGCAACAGCACAGAAGAGCTTGTTTCCCAGAAGTTCCGGTGTCGGTGTTGGCATCGGTGTAGGCATCGGTGTAATTGGTTGTGAGGGAAAAATTATCATTTTATGTGTAACTGAAAAATCGAGAACGATGCAAATCAAATAAATAAATGATAGAAAATTCTGGAGCAGAGTGGGGGTGGAACCAGGCTCTTTTGGGTCCAAGTGGGAATAGAACCCAGGTCATTTGCGTAGCAAGCAGATGTTCTACCACACGGGCACGCCTCTGCTTGTGAAAACAGTGAAAAGAGCTTCCTGTGCTTGGAATTGCAGTGAAAGCAGCTTTCACGCTTCACAAACACATGCGTCCTGTATACGTGCTTTACAATGCAACATAAGATATTGCAGTAATAATTTGTGTTACAAGCGTCCATTGCCAACAGGCATGAAATTATGTGATTATCATAGTGCCGGTACCCCGCTACAAAAGGCACACAGGCTACTGCGCCTATTCGCTTAAAGCCACGCTGTGGGTGCATGGCGAATTTGAAAAGGTTTCACGCACTATGTGTTTGAAGTATGCACTACGAACAAGATGTCGCTGTCGCGTTCAGCTCCTAAAGGCCAGGCTTTAAGGTCCCCTAATTATTATAATTATTGTTATTATTATATCACATATTTTTCACTATCGATTTTTCTTGGGAAATACGCAATCGGTCAGTTGGCTAAATGGCAGAATATTAAACAAGAGAGAGGGCCTGTGAGAAAAATAACTTCTCAAACTTGTTCAACCATTTTATATACGCTCTTCTCTACATCACACTCACTTCACCAGATGGTCAAAAATTCGCCCTCTGCCTATTCATATGAACATCTTCACAATGGTTTCTTGTCACCTGGCTCCATAACACGGTCTCGAAGTTGATGGGAGCCCACCCAAATGTATAGTATATTAGAGGCTCCAAAAATCCTCGACCAGAAGATGCATATTTACTAAGCTTAAGGTTAACCCTTTCATCCAACCTAAACAAGCTTTCTCTGCTGAGGTAGCCAAGTGATGTATATGGCAGCTTCTCCACAATATAACCACATGTGGAGAGTGCCTTGTGCACAAGTGCGGCACCACCACTACAATAATCTAGCTGGCACACTTTACATAGATGGCACAGCATACCCCTAACGGCAACATAATTTCGTTCCCACCACAGTCACACTAGAAGGAGAGTCGACGGCTGTAGCCTCTATACACTTGCAGTTGTCAGAGGAGGTAGTCATAGGATCTGCTCTCACTATACCTCCACTCACCAGTGTCATCAGTAATTCCAATTCAGCCATACATGACTACATAGCCAGATGCATTGGGGGACTGGCATGAATAATTGCCTGCAAATCCACGATTCAGTTGGACATTACACTTGTTTGGACTGTTGTGCACAAATGTCTTATCAGACAACAAAGCTGCTTTGCCTGTGCTTGAGGACACCGACACTACTAGGAAAAGTTGAGGTGAGCGCTTTGCGTGGTAGGCTCATTACATATCGCAACATCTTACAGCACAGTGAGTCATCTCTGCATACTTTACCCCTCTCACTCATTCCCATGTGAGGGAGTTGGAATCCTGTGAAGACAGTGTAGACATATATACCATCACTACTTCAATCCTTCGTGAGTTAAACTTAGGTCAGTTTCTGAATTCCAGCTGTACAGCTCCTTATACAAACTATACTTACACAAGCTGGTCTATTTTGTTATTCGGAAAGCTCCGATTAACGTCAAAATCTGGTTGGGGACCTCGATTTCTCAAAGCAGGTTTGGCAGCATTGATATGGGCAAAAGCATTGCTGGCCTCTACAAATTCATCCATGTAAGTGACCGTTATACCAATGTTGAGGTGCCTTGTCATGAGTAAAGGATAAGCACGAGGCGCATGCTGATGCACGAAAAGAAAAAGAGCCACCCGAGAGCATGCGCACTAGCCGCTTAAACGCAAGAGATTGGTCAGAAAAATTCTCGTGGCATGCGACCCGGGCCGTGAAGAAAAATTCCAGAGGATGAGCTGGTACTGCGCGTTGTGACGCCGAGCTGTGAAGACATGGGAAACAAGCGTCACTACATTCACGAAAACAGTATAGCCACCCGGTGAGAGCAAATGTGGCCACTGACGGTCACTGCTGTGCGCTATCACTTGTCTATTACAGCAAACACCAATCCAGGCCACAGTGACTTGTGCTGGTCTGTTGAACTAAAGGAAGATGCTACTCGAAGTATGCAAATTTTTTTCAAAACTACACATTCTTGTTTTTAATTGCTTTACAAGTTTAATTTCTCTACTTCTAAGACAAAAAAAATAAAGGTTGTAGTTAAACTCAAAGTAGGCTGAAATCACCTAATTTAACGAGCACAACTTGACTATAAAAAAAAACTAAAAAGAGCTTATTGTCACCTGGCTGCTTGCCATTGCATTTCACATGAGGAGTTCACCAAAGCTCTTTTAAAGCATAGTATCAATAATATAATTATTATAAACTTAAAGTAAGCATTTAAGATGGGCTGAACATTTAATACTTCTCACATTATGATTTTTCTTGTTAATTTAAATGTTTTGTATGCGCTTTCTCAATAGTTATTTGCATTCTACAGTTAATGCTGGACAATAAAAACCATTAATGACTCATAATTATAAAGTTTAGTGGCGGGAAGCGTCTGCCCAAAGAAAGCTATATTTTATGAATTGTCATGGTTCAAAACGAAAACTGTGCAACTTCCATTATAATTGAATGTATATTTGAAATCAGTATAGAAACCTATGCAAACAGCAAGAACTTTATTTCCTTAGGCTACAGATTCAAGAAACTTTCTACTTTTCTTTTCACTGCTTATCTCCCTTTAATAACTGCAGCAGTGCTTTCATTGTTTTTAGCTGTGATGACTTATGATGTATGATAGAGATCATAGATCAAAGCAAGCTAGGGCAGTGGAGGTACAAGTGAGCATCCTTGTACATTATAATGAGGTCGAATGTGTTTAAAAAATTTGCTTGTGACCACAGTACTAGTCACAGGTACTAGTCGCAGGCATTAAAGTGGTGCCAATTTCCGTTTTATACAATTTAGGATTTGAGGCTGAAATTTTTTAAATGTGTTGATGTCACACTCTTGTTAAACTGACTACTCATGAAAGCACAGCATGTGTGGTGATCATCAAAAAGTTGCTTGCGGTGTTTTGGAAGCTAGCATGTCACAAGAATTCTCACAAACATTGAGCAAAGCCGGTGTTTGTCGCCCTGCTGCGTCTTCTGCCATTGTCATTCAGTTCAATTGCCCCATCAGAATGTTTTGCGGTTACTGAAATTGTCAAATGTAACATCTTTCAACAGAATCTCTAATGGGTCTTCACACTGCATTCTGCTATCCAAAAGGGGATGAGAAAAGTTTGTATTGCTTGATCTTTATATGTGTTGTCTAGACAGATGAGTACATGTCAACATATGGTATGCAACAAAAATAAATGGTAAGCTTCACTGAGGCAGATGTTAATGAATTGCACAAATATTGCTTTATTAAAAATGCTCATACACACGAATTATAGTATGGCAGTGAAGGAAATTAGAGTTGAAGCCAAAGTTGTGTCTACTTTCATAAAAGTATAGCATGTTGAAGTTTCCAGGGTCTATGCTTGCAGTTCCTGTGCTAAAATTGATTTTTTTTATTTGTTGATTTAAATTTCAAGCGAGCCAGCAAAAGGTGCAGTATGACCGTAGAGTTTGGGCGAGAACTAGTATTCTGTTCAGTTTTCTTAGGCCCATTGACATGCAGCACGAACTAACCAAGTTCGACATCACTTTCATGCATACTATATAGCTGGTTTGGAGATGAAGAAGGATTCCACTTCTGGAGTGTGACTTGCTACTATCTCACAAAAAAACAGCGAAGCCTCAATGCTGCTGATAAAACGTCGCTGCCACTGTGCTATGATATGCTGTGCCCTGATGCTGAGTATAAGGTGAGTTAGCTGTCTGGATGCTTCATCAGTTTTCATGACATTTCAAGATTTTCGCTCAGTATACAATATTTCTGGTTGGACAGAGTGATGGCAGGCAGATTTTTCAAATTACAGGGCAGCAGTTTCAGCTCAGAATAATGTGGGTCAGTTTAGAAACTGTATTATGGTGAAGCTTTCTGCATCTCACTGATTTGTCTGGAAGGACTGAAATGCTCTGTTGGAAAGCCAGCTTACACAAGGAAACTGTCTGCGCATCTGTATACATATTGACTATGGCACATGACATACATATCAGAATGCTACGGTTTATGTTTGCAGTTGTAGCAGTAAGAACAACTACAACAGCAACGTCACACAATAGGTTGCGGGCCATCACCATGGGTAGGCCGTAGGTGTGGCCCACTGCAGGAGAGGCTGCCGTACACTAACTCAAGTGCGAGCGCAATTGTGCCCGTAACTAGGCCATGCTAGGTCACTACTCATGCTAGATCATGCTAGATTTCTACTCATTGAAGCCCAAGACGCTACACAGACCCATGACACAACACAGCTTTTGCATTGATCTCATGCTTGCAACCAGGCTGTGTCACGTTACAATAGGAGGGCCTCTGACCGTCTAGCACAGCAGTCACAAGGCAATACTGTGCAAGTGTATAGTTCGTGAAAGTGTGACTACATACATGTAATCAATAGCTAGATTATCTAAAAAATAAAGTCTATGCAACTTAATAAAATGTGTCTTCATTCAACATCAAAGTTAAAAAACTACAAGTTTAACCCTTCGTGGGGCATCAGGAGTCATATGTCCCACTTTTTTCAGGATGTTCTGATATATTTTTTTTAGATCAAAACCACTAAATCGGTTGCTTTCAAACTTCTATTTCAACTGTGTTGATGTTCTAGAAATCGGTTTTGATAGTTGTTTCGATGGTATTCACAAGGCAGAAGCACACACACATTACAAGCAAACCATTCTGTCTGTATGCACTGAATCCCTTTCATCTGATTTTGGCATGCTTTTCACCCAATTTGGCATAAAAGTCAAGCTTCGAAAGTTTATTTATTACTCACAAGTTCCTAAATGTGCTATTACCGTACTTTCCTTTGTTTCTGCCCATACATTTTCCAGAAATATGTGTGCAATGTGAAATCGACAACCATTCAATGATATATTTCTGAAAGTGTAGCCAGTCTAACATTTTATACAGCTGATTGCAGTATCCAATTTTCATTCATCTTTATGCAGGGAAGTGACTTTCTATGAAAAAAGCAGTTGAGCTTTCTCCATGGACAAAAATTAGACTGTTGCAAGCATGCCCAGTACCTACTCAAGTGCTGTTATAATGAGTCGATGTACAGTAGACATTTAGTAAACATTTCTGGGATAGGGAATCAGTGCTTGTAGGCTCTGTTCATTTTTGATTGTAAGGCAACAGCAAGTTCGCATAAAAAAAAATAAAAGCACTTTTTTAATCTCTGAAACTACTGTCTTCCAGTGGGCAGTGGGAGACATATGTCCCACCTTTTTATATACACTCAACAGCAGTTGGAAAAGCCTTCATAATAGAGAGCTCAAATTTTGTACATATTTGTAAGAAGGTAATACAAACGAAAATGCCAACCTCAATAGTTGGTGTGCATTGTTCATTAGGCCTGATAAAGGGTTGAACAAATCATATATGAATCAAATCATATATGCATCGCATCATGTCACTCAGCATTTCCTGGCTTCGTTGCATACTAAATGGCTTTATGCTTTGACATTTATTCAGTATGCATGGGAAAAAGCTTTGCATTCAATCATCTTTGTTTAAGAAAGGGGCTCTGAATTTTTACCTATTATCTCATTTGAATTGACTTACTCGATAATGATTGCACCATTGTCATGGTTGTATCGCAAAAAGCCGCAGTAAGTCACCTTACTAAGCCTTTAGCACCACCCATGTAACATTTGTCATTCTAAGCTCATTAAAGTGCTTAACCATACTTAAAACACATGAAGACTCCTAGGTCTCAATAGGGGTTGCTAATAAAGCTTGTGGATCGGATAAATGATTTATCACAATCAATACATGACACCAAAAAAATTAAAAAAGAAGTATTAGTACACAGTTAGGAATGTGCAAATGTTCGACAGTAACTTATCCAGCTGAAATCTCCCTTGAGTTTTACAGGACCTGAAAAAAATTTCTACTAATTTAGATTGTATAATATAACAAAGAAAGAGTTAGGCTTCAACAGATCTATATTTAGCAAAAAAAGGTTTGCTTCTCTAGTTTGTTTTTTCTTTGAATCATCATCATCATCAGCCTGACTACGTCTGCTGCAGGACGAAGGCCTCTCCTATGTTCCGCCAGTTAACCTGGTCCTGTGCTTGCTGCTGCCAATTTATACCCTCAAACTTCTTGATCTCATCTGCCCACCTAACCTTCTGTCTCCCCCTAACTTACTTGCCTTCTCTGGGAATCCAGTTAGTTACCCTTAATGACCAGCGGTTATCCTGTCTACGTGCTACATGCCCGGCCCATGTCCATTTTCTCTTCTTGATTTCAACTATGATATCCTTAACCCCCGTTTGTTCCCTAATCCACTCTGCTCTCTTCTTGTCTCTTAAGGTTACACCTACCACTTTTCTTTCCATTGCTCATTGCGTCGTCCTCAATATAAGCTGAACCCTCTTTGTGAGTCACCAGGTTTCTGCTTCGTAGCTAAGTAACGGCAAGATACAGCTGTTATATACCTTCCTGTTGAGGGATAGTGGCAATCTACCTGTCATAATTTGAGAGTCCTGGCCAAATGTGCTCCACCCCATTCTTATTCTTCTAGTTACTTCAATCTCGTGGTTCGGCTCCGTGGTTATTACCTGTCCTAAGTAGACATAGTCTTTCACAACTTGAAGTGCACTATTACCTATCACGAAGCGCTGCTCTCTTCCGTTTCTGCACATTAGTTTTAAGACCCACCTTTCTGCTCTCCTTGTCTAACTCCGTAATCATGAGTTGCAATTCGTCCCCTGAGTTACTCAGCAATGCAATGTCATCGGCGAAGCGCAGGTTACTAAGGTACTCTCCATTAACTCTTATCCCTAACTGTTCCCATTCTAGGCTTCTGAAAACCTCCTGTAGGCACACGGTAATTAGCATTGGCGAGATTGTGTTCCCCTGCCTTACACCCTTCTTGATTGGTATTCTGTTGCTTTCTTTATGAAGCACTATGGTAGCAGTTGATCCCCTGTAGATTTCTTCCGGGATGTTTATATATACTTCATAAACACCCTGATTCCGCAGTGTCTGCATGACTGCTAATATTTCGACTGAATCAAACGCCTTCTCGTAACCAATGATGGCTATGTATAGTGGTTGGCTGTATTCTGAGCATTTCTCTATTACCTGATTGATAGTATGAATGCGGTCGATGGTTGAGTAGCCTGTTCTAAACCCTGCTTGTTACTTTGGCTGATTGAATTCTAATGTTTTCTTAACTCTGTTAGCAATTACCTTTGTAAATAGCTCTATATACTACAGAGAGCGAGCTGATCGGCCTGTAATTCTTCAAGTCCTTGTCTTCTCCTTTCTTATGTATTAAGATGATGTTAGCATTCTTCCAGACTCTGTACTCTTCCTGTCAGGAGACACCTCTTAAACAGGGTGGCTAGTTTTCCTAACACAATCTGTCCTCCATCTTTCAGCAGATCTGATGTTACCTGACCCTCGCCAGCAGCTTTGTCTCTTTGCAGGCTCTCCAAAGCTTTTCTGACTTCTATCATTACTGGTGGGGTGTCATCTGGGTTACTGCTAGTTCTTATAGTATTAAAGTCGTGGTTGTCCCGGCTACTGTACAGATCTCTGTAAAACTCCTCTGCTATTTTAACTATCCTATCCATATTTGTAGTTATTTTGCCTTCTTTGTCCCTTAGTGCCTACATCCAATTTTTGCTTATCCCAAGTTTCCTTTTCACTGCTTTGACGCTTCCTCCGTTTTTCAGAGCGTGTTCAATTCTCTCCATGTTATACCTTCTTACATCGCATACCTTACGCCTATTAATCAACTTTGAAAGCTCTGCCAGTTCTATTTTGTCTGTTGCACTTGAGACTTTCATGATTCGACGCTTCTTAATAAGATTCTTCATTTCCTGGGAAAGCTTGCCAGTGTCCTGTCTAACTACCCTGCCTCCTACTTTCACTGCACACTCCGTAATGATACTCGCCAGATTATCATTCATTGTATCTACGCTCAGGTTGGTTTTCTCACTAAGAGCCGAGTACCTGTTCTTAAGCGAGACTCTGAATTCCTGTACTTTCCCTCTCAGTGCTAGCTCATTGATTGGCTTCTTGCGTATCAGTTTCTGTTGTTCCTTCTTCAAGTCTAGGCGAACTCGAGACCGTACCATTTTATGGTTACTGCATCGTACCTTGCTAACCACTTCCACATCCTGCACGATGCCTGGGTGTTCACTCATTATAATGTCTATTTTGTTCTTATTTTCGACATTAGGGCTCCTTCATGTCCACTTGCAGTTTCCTCGTTTTTCGGTAGAAGGTATTCAAAATCCGTAAATTATTGCATTCTGCAAATTCTACTAGTAGCTCTCCTCTGGCGTTTCTAGTACCGATGCCATAATCTCCTACTGCCTGGTCTCCAGCCTGCTTCTTCCCTACTTTTGCATTAAAGTCTCCCATCAGTATAGTATACTGTGTTTTTACCTTACTCATTGCCGATTCTATGTCTTCTTCATAGAAGCTTTCAACAGAAGCGTCATCATGGCTGGATGTAGGCGCGTAAGCCTGTATCACCTTCATTTTGTATCTCTTATTCAGTTTAATTATGATACCTACCACCCTTTCATTAATGCTATAGTATTCCTCTATGTTGCCAGCTATGTTTCTGCGAATTAGGAACCCCACTTCCAGTTCTCTTCTGTCAGCCAAGCCCCGATAGCAAAGGACGTGCCCATTTTGTAGCACCATATATGCCTCATCTGTCCTCCTAACATCACTGAG